TCCACCATCGGCCCACATCAAGTTCACGAGAGATTTGGTCAATGTTGCAACACCAGCATACCCTTCCCAAGCAACTCCACCGCCACCTCCACCAGCTACAAGTGACGCCACTCCACCTCCAGCCAATGAGAAGCCTTCATTGCCTCCACTCATCCATGGATCCAGTCAATCAGCTTTTCCAGCGTCACCTACCGCGGACCAACCCGAGATCTCGCCTAGCACGCCACAACCTCCTTCCAAGAGGGCTAAACCTTCGCCCACCACGCCATCTCTTGAGTCAAGATTGGATACAGTTCCGTTTGATGACCGATCTTCTTTCATCCACTGGCCTGGCATTACCTTCTCATGATCAAGAAATGCTCTTACCCAACCTGCGCCACCAACTTGAGAATAATAGTTAAATTTATAAGTGCCACTTATGTCTGTACTTTACCACTGTTCCTTCAAGGAATCACACAAGCTCTTGACGAAAACCGGGGTGCTATACATAAGAAAACAAAACTCAACCTTGTTCCTGTCTCACGCTTAAAGACCATAAAAAAAATGGATCCAACACTGACAAATTGGAAATTATTAAATATCGCCACAACTCCAAGTAAATTGATTCCCCACCGACCAGTCATCATGTAGCAGCTACCCTTCGTCGTCATCTTGCCTTCCTGCCGACTTCCAGACACCATTCACCAGAAAGATTGAGTTTTCGCCCACCATGCAAGATGCAGCCAGCCTCTGTTGTGTTCTCGTGTGTCTACATCCCCCTTGCCATCTGCTTCCTAGGCTTACGGTTGGGTTTAGTCCCGACTCCTCTCTTCGACTCAAGACATTCCTCTCACCGGCTATTCTTCGTTCTGTCCCCACTTCTCCCGATCCCCTCGCCCTCAGTGGGTTCTTACTCGAGTCCTTCGTTCGTTCGTGATCAGTCATCTCGCTTGGATCACAGGATTCATAGGGTACACATCAGAGATTACAAACAGTCACATCCCAGCTCCTTTGCAGTTTCTACGATACCAGTTGAGGAGGGAAACTTTTACCTTTGGTAATCGCTATCTCTGCTCTTCCACGTTGTATTCACATCGTATAACCCAGTAGTGGAACAATTAGTGAATCCAACAAACTAGCCCTAGCCGCTGCTGTGAAGAATAGCTTGCAGGTCAAACTTAGCGAGATTCACTCGCTCAGAGAAGCTTTCATTGTCTGTAATGACTATTTTGAAGCTGGAGAAACTCGTTACTATTGCTGCAACTACTCTCAATGAATGTGGTTTCCAAGTTCGGTCTTCTCCAGCTCTGAGGGCAAAGAAATGTCTTCATTAAATGATTGGACAAACTCATAACCCAATCTATCGACGAACTCAAGGCATTAGAGGACCAAAATTCTTGGGCCACTGTTGACTCCACAAAAATTCCTGCTGCCTCTTCAGTGCTCAAGATAATTTTTATCGACGTTAATATGGCTGCCCAAGCTCTTGCTGACGAACCGGCAATCATTTATTACTACATAAACCCAAGTCACATTGAACCTGAGTGATAGAAACAGCACACCCTGTTGGACCTGCTACTCATACTTGCATCTATCAAGACTGTCCAATCAAGGACAAGAAATTCTGTTCGAACTGTGGCTGTGAAGGGCATGACTTCAAGACTTGCACCACCACCTTTCCTGAAAATGCCCCATGAGGAAAGAAATAATGAACTCAAGATGACCTCTACTAAATCTCCAACGTATGCTACCATCACTAAGCTTCAAGCCGACACCACAAAGATTCTCTACGTTCTCCACCAGCAACTCTATCCACTACCATCTATTGCATAATGTATGCACATCTTGCAAATGCAGCACAACCTGGATCGTTTAACGCAACTATCAATGAACTCTTCCGCCTCAACAGTATGCCAAGTTTAACCTTCTCTGATTCTACACCTTCAGCCCACATAAAGATTATTCCCAAAGTTATAACCTTCACTGCACCTGCAGACCGGAGGTGCCATAGCACCGTTCCTGAACCATCTCCAACTACGGACACTCTTCAAGGGAGGTTCCTTGATGTTGGTGAGGGGCTCTTGATCTAAGGAATTAGATCTGTTCTCCAGTTCTTCGAATGATTCTGAATAACTTTCATCCCCTCCCCCACACACTGTAATTCCTACTGGTTTAGTGCTCCCCCATGATTATAATAATAATCATCTAATACGGACAAGACTCCTACCAATCTCAACCCCGATAAGCCACCAACAAATTACACCAGTGCTCCTGAATCATAACCTTCGCCTCAAGCCTACCAACCTATTGAAGATACACAACTATTCGAGGAAGAGGAAGAATGTCCCTCCTACGAAAATGGAAGGGGTTGGTAGGATATATCCTTCTACAAAACTGAACCATACATCGATGCTATATATTGCAAAGAACCGTTCTCTCGACTTCAAAAAGGAACTGTCAAATATACCTGCATCCCGGAAAAACTATGTACAACCCGGGCCCTAATTGAATCCATTGGAAGGATTAAAAAATGACTCGCAGCAATGGATTAAAGTTGGAAAAAAATAAGGTTTAGAAAGGATATAGGACAGCATTGGTTTTGTAATAGATTTGTGTATGTCTGGAACTAACATCAGAGTAGCGTCATTGAATCGAGTATACCTGGAGAATCGTCATTGAATTGAGTATACCTGGTGAGGACAAGTACATGAGTGGGTGTTGGTGAGACGGTAGGCCGGCTGCAGGGCTTTCTCCTCTCTTATGTTCTTACATAGAGGAGGAGGAATTATCAGACAGAAGTGGTAAGCGAAAGTTGTGTCAGCATCTCAAAAGACTAACACGGTGAAGGTGGAGAATGTATGCAAAGTAAAACATTAAAGATTTAAGTAAAGGGTAATCCTAGATTGCAAAGACTGACTACATAGGAACAAATCACTGGAGGCTCCAGGTACTTTGTAGCAACCATACAATAACTCGCACGGATTAAAAAATAACCTAGTGTTAGAAAACGGTCAAATTAAGAGATGACATGTCAGTGTATACAAGTGTTTTGTAATGTCTCGTGTTTATCCTGATGGATATTTTGAGCTTGCTATGCATGGACTACGAAAATGAGTGGGTGGATCTTTCAGTATCCCTGTTCCCAACCTATAACTTTCATGAGTTACATGATCCAGATGTAAACAGGAATAGTTGGAATCTTACAGATATGAATAGTTATTCTAGTGTTGAGTGATATATAATTTAATTAAGGTGTAGTTTGATTAAATATTCAATGATCCAGGTACAAAATGTTTCAGCAAATTCAATTTTATCGAATGATTTTTTGTTTAACCTTATTCGACAAACTATCAAATCTTATAGGTATTTGATAAAATTTATGTATTTTTCACCTAAACTTTGATAAATTACACACGTGCAACACTCGGGTATTTTTATTGTGGAAACGTTTCGTCCCACACTGGCTTCATCAGTCCAGTACAAAGAATGGTGAAGGCCAGAAGGAGTTTGAGGTAATCAGTCCCCCAACCCGTAGTCGATGTAATCAGTCCATCATTCTAGAGAAGAATACAGCATATGCTCGAAGAAAGGGCTTATATACTCAAGACAGGTGAGGGGAAGCAATCGTAGGCGGTGTCACCATGGAATAAGTAAGTTTATTCAGGTAAACACAAATAGTTACATAGAATTATCATACATAGCACCATATGTGTAGAGAACCTGGGATAACCCAAAAGTCAGAGTGACTTATTTCCATTGGGGTCCTTTTACCTTATTATAATATAAAGGTTATAATATTTTCTTATTATTCTATAATGAAGATAACATCTTATTATCATACTAAAAAGACTATCTACTACACGAGGGTCATTACTAGGAATAAGGTAAAATTTACACGTGTGTTAGCTAAAAAATAGAAAATCATTCCCCTCCCTTTCTGTAGCTACATTCATCAGACACCTTTTGGCACTCTTCTTGAACTGGTTCATGCTATGACTAGCTTTGACATGTGCAGGCAGTCTGTTCCATTCCTTTATTGCTGTACAATAAAAGGTGTTTGAAGCCTGGCCACTGACTGTGGGTACTACAAAGTTGTGCTCTCCCCTTAGTACTATGATTGCTTTGGTTCCCAACCTTGACAAAATTGACAGCAAGATATTCTGGACACTGTTTGTGGACACATCCACAGGTGGAATTAAGTCATATCTGCAGATTAAGCAAGCGTAGAATTGCCTTAAGATGTTCAAATGCTGCACTTATGTATAATTTATCAACTTATCGGTTCTCTGAACCGTTTATCTACATTCCTGTCAGACACAGCAACATCTTGGGGTCTTTAAACAGGAAATTCTATGCTTGTCTAATCTATAGTCATGACCTACTTCCACGGTGACACCGCCTACGACTGCTTCCCCTTACCTGTCTGCAGTACATAAGCTCCTTCGGGCATATACTGTATACTTATAAAGACTGATGGACTGATTACTTTCAAAAACCTGATCTTCACCATTCTTCTTTGTATTAAACTGATGAAACCACTGTGTGACGAAACTTATCCATAATAGATACCCAAGTGTTGCACATGTCTAATTTATCACTTTGTCGGTTCTCTGAACCATTATCTACATACCTAAACTTTATGGAGATATTAATATTATTTTTTCAGGGAAAATGAAGTGTCTTGGAGTCGGGTTGCTTTTCCTCGCTGCAGTCACTGCACAAAGTACGTAAGAGAATGTGGATTTAGCCGATAGTAACTTTTATTTTTAAAAAAATGTATAGCTTTAATTCTGAAATTTTTCTTAGGCAAAAGTGTACAAATACTTGTTTATACAAAAATTTTTAAATACTAAAGGCACTAAAAAGATAAAAAAAAATAAATACAGAAGTAATCGTAATGACACGATTGCATAATAAACCATACCCCCGCGGATAACCGCGGTCATAGTCTCAAACCCAGCCTTTCGCATAACCACTAGACCACTAGCCACAATAAGATTATCAACTAGGTTTCTTTACACATGGAAGGTTGCAAGACTTGTGACCCTTGCCTGTGAGTACAGAGGTCTTGGAACTCCATGTGTAAATATCACTGTTGGATGAATCTTATTGTGGCTAGCTGTCAGGAGGTTACCTGAAAAATTTTAATCTAAATTATCCGCTATGTTTAAAAATAAAGATTGTACAAATCAATATAGTACATATTAATTATAAGATAATTTTCAACATATAACTTAATAAATTTAGACATTCTTACTGATGAAATTTTTGCAGGAGAAGATAGGAAATGAATTCAATTTCATTTTTAATATTTAGGAGGTATAAAAATTTATAACAATAAAAATAAAGATTTGTACTCTAATTTAGACTGATAGTATCAAGTCACGTTATATTTTTATATACAACGACTGTTTTAAGGCAGAATTCGAATCCTTTTGTAATAGGTAACATATCAATGACTATGATTCATAATTTACTAGCTTATCCGTATATTTTATAACTTTTGTCTTGTATCTTTCGATGACATCCTGACTTCTTAGGTATAACTGTTGTTTCCGACTCGAAGTTGTGTTGGAGACCCCAAGAACAAGGATGTAGACACAGAGCTGAGGAATGCAGTGGAAATAAGTGACAGACAAAATTTCAACTTCCTTGATGTTGGCTTGAACAACGGCTGCATCACTCCAGATGGAGAGAGGGGTGGGTTCTTTTATGCCCTTCTTTACGATTAAGTTTTTATGGTTGATTGGGATATGTGGGGCGTTACGTTCAACGGTATGCTTTAGATAAAGTACGATGAAAGAGAAAACACATGATACAAAAACGCCGAAGAGTGGTAGCCTGTATATGTGTACCTCCATCTGAGGTTCTCTTCAGCAAATACAAATGAATAAGGAGAGACTGAGTATTTATACTATAGAAATAGAGAGCGAAGACATCTCATAGTTGGCTAGCCTTTTAGGGACTTCAAGGTGTATAGATGGCCTCTTATATTAGTGTGGGAGTTTCTGAAATAATGTGAATCTTATTGTTATATTTGACAGGATAACCCCTCCCCTCCGAATCCCCTGTAGGTTATTTAGCACAAGATGTGGAGGCTCGAGCCACCGTTCGCTTATAGAAGAACGAGATATTCTTGCAGTCAGGCTAAAGGGACTTGGAGAAAAATGCTGTTAACATGGGAACACTAATAAAACATGTAACAGGAAAACAAAGGAACGTTGCATAAGGTAAACCGTGCTTCAGCCTCCAGATAGCAGTCCTTGTTTAAGGTGTCTGGGCTATTGTTTGGATACCTGATTCAACTCTTTGCTGGGATGTATTTTTCTAATGCATATTTGGTTATCACTTCTGGTTTCAAATTTCATTTTGAGATGTTAAAGTTTAATATGACTTAAGTGTCACTTCAACTGATTTCCGTTTGTATGGGTCTTCTATCTTTTGGATGAGGCTACCACCATCGTAATTTATCGCGTGGTGCGAATTTTTAATATTAGAAAAGTGTAGAGCTTTCTTGGCCTTACCTAACTGAACATAAATAATCAAGACATTTATATCAAGAGACTTTTCGCCACTCGTGGCTTTGCCGCAAATGGCGAATTGTCTTTCTCGGTAAATGTCTTGATTGTGCATATGTCTTATTCCCTCAGGTAAAGCCAAGTTTGCCGATGACACTAAATTAGGCAGTTAAATAATTTCTAAAGACCCTAGAAAACTATAGGATGGTTTATGTTGTGATCGAAGTGGCATCTGCACTTAATTGCGGACAAATGTAAGATTCTAATCCTAGGGAATAAAAATTACTTTGGCATTTATAAAAAAAATATAAATCTTAATCAAACTGAATGCCGAAAGGATTTAGGCGTTCAGGATAGAGGAAATTTATAGCAAAAACAACAGTGAATAAAACTAATTGAATTCTTGCCTTTATATCAAGAAGAATAAAAGTAACTCTGCGGTTATTTATCTTTGATACGGCCTTGTATAGATTTTGCAGTTCAGTTTTGGTCTCCATATTGCAGAATGACAAATGTAGATAAAAGATAAGACACATGTGCAACATTTAGGTTCTTTATTCCGAAACTGTTTGCCTACACAGTAGGCCTCTTCAGTCGAATACAGAGGAGGCAGCGAAAGTAGTAGTTTCAAGGTGGTCAGTCCCTCAGCCCAGAGGAGTGTCCAGCACCATAGTTTAGAACAGTGTGAAGCTGAAGCATAAGACCTATCTTGGCATAGGTGAGGCGTAGAAAAATCTTGAGGATGACAGAAGAGGCGGGGCCCACTAGTAGAAGCAAGAATGTAATTGAGAGGCACTTTTTTTTTTTTCTTTTTTTTTTTTTACACAGGGTTTGACAAGGTTAAGGATCCCTAGCTTTATTGACAAGCTATTTACAGGTTAAGGATTCCTAACTTTATTGGCAAGCTAAGAGCTATTACCTACATCAGCTCATTTGAAAGCATTTTTGTTATGAGACATACAAGTAGGGAACAGGATGAAGTTGGAGCCATCTATGAGCCAGCATTTTCATTTGATCAGCTGACTTCATCTCGTTGACATCATTATGCTGTACGAATGTGTTCCATACTCAGTCATCCTGGGTATATATGATCTCAGATGGAGTGATGTTCTGGAGAAGGGTGCAGCCAGAGTGAAGTTGCTGCTTTCTGCCCGTCTTGTGGCATAAAAGCTTGTTTCACGCTGTCCTCGAAGTGGATCCGAGTGTGGTACTTTAACAATATTGGCCTTGTACATAACAGTAAGGCTACCCACATCCCTCCTGTGTTGAAGGCTCTGCTGAAATGAAAGATCTATCCAGGATGGGTCCAGGCGAGAGATGAGACGTCTTGCTCTGTTCTCTACTTTGTCAAGCAGTCGCAGATGAGAGGGGGGCGGCAAACCAAGAAAGTGGAGCATACTCAAGGTGTGAGCGTACTTGTGCCTAGTACAGAATCTTGCAACCCCCCCTCTCATATATATATATATATATATATATATATATATATATATGTCGTGCCGAATAGGCAGAACTTGCGATCTTGGCTTAAAAAGCAACGCTCATCTTGCCATATAGGACAAGCAAAAATTTGTGTATGCAATAATTTCGCCAAAATCATTCTGAACCTAACGAAAAAAAAATATTTCACTGTTTGTTTAGTATTAAATTATTGTAAACAAATCTAAAATATATTTAGTTAGGTTAGGCTAAAATAAATTGCGCTTGTTATAATAAGGTTAGGTAAGTTTTCTAAGTTCCTTTTGGTGCAAAATTATAAATTTTTACATCAACATTAATGAAAAAAATATATCTTTAAACGTATAAAATAAAATTTTAGAAAGGACTTGATTTTAAATGAGTTCTTGCTAATTGACCAGTTTTACATATTCGGCACATTATATATATAGCGTGTGTATGTGTATCAAACCGGCCATATCCCACCGAGGCAGGGTGACCTAAAGAAAACTAAAGTTTCTTTCTAAATTTTAGAAGGGGTTACTAGCCCCTTGCTCCCGGCATTTTAGACTCCTCTTACGACACGCATGGTTTTACGGAGGAAGAATTTTGTTCCACTTTCTCATGGAGATAAGCAGAAGTCAACAAGAAAAAGAACTAGGAAGAAAATAGAAGAAAACCCAGAGGGGTTTGTATATATATACCTGTACATGTATGTGTAATGTGACCTAAGCGTAAGTAGAAGTAACAAGACGTATCTGAAATTTTGCATGTTTGAGACAGAAAAAAGACACCAGCAATCCTACTATCATGTCAAACAAGTACAGGTTTCCGTTTTACTCGCTTGCCAGGCGGTTGCTGTCTACCAAGACAAGCCACGGGGGGTGGAAATCTTATAATGTCGTGCCGAATAGGTAAAACTTTCTATTTTGGCTTAAATGGCAACGCTCTTCTTGCCGAATAAGGCAAGCGAAAATTTGTGTAGGCAATAATTTCGTAAAAATAATTCTGAACCTAACGAAAAAAAAATTTCATTGTTTATTATTAAATTATTGTAAACCTATCTAAAATATATTTAGTTGGATTAGGCTAAATTAAACTGCGCTTGTTATAAGGTTAGGTAAGTTTTCTAAGGTTCATTTGGTACAAAATTATTAATTTTTACACTAACATAAATGAAATGTCTTGAAACACACAACAGGAAATTTTAGAAAGGACGTAATTTAAATTCTTGCTAATTGACCAGTTTTACCTATTCGGCACGACGTATATATCATATAGTGGTGTTAAAGGAAGAAGTCATATATGGAAAATGATGCCATAAGGTAAATTATTATTTTCACGAGGAAGCTTTAAATCCTTAGGGATCATACAACACCTGAGGAATGAGGTTAAATCAGGGTTGATTTTGGGAAAGGCATATGTTGCTCATTGAGTACACCAGAAGGTAGAGACCAAAAAGTGACTGGCTTACAGAAGAGGGTTTGAGAGATACATATAAGCAACTGTTAGAATAAAGGTCGACTAAGTTGAGGGGGAAAAATGATAAGAAAGAGGTAGTGTAAATATTTAAAATGTAGTGTTATGTGCAACCAAGGTTATTGTTATACGTGTCAAGCGTTCATAATCAGAATTTGCACAAGGTACAAAAATTTAAATGTTTTGACTTATAAAAATCCATTATTTTAAAGTCAAAATACATAATCTCATAATTTCATGGTACTTTTCGCATGCTTTAAAAAAAAAGTGAAATATTAAATGTGCTAAAATGTTGTTTTATTGCATATTTCGACTATTTAGAGCGATTTGATGCATCAGACAAACCTATTTTTTTTTTAGTAAAATTACATAGCATCAAAGGATACAGTTGTTTTTTTACATTCTAGTTTATTTTTTCGAATTTTACTCTTTATTTTTATCTATATACTGAAATAAGTGCATTATTACAGGTATTTGTGGGCCTCTGAGTCAGTGTCGTGGGTATGCTCCTTTCTTTAATCAACTGAGACAGCTAAATGTTATCCGTTTCTTAAGGAGTCGCATATGCAGGTGAGAATTTGTGTACAACTGTGATTGAGGAGCCTAACGCTAGTAACAAGAAAGTATTACCATAAAGAGCAACTCAAGGGATATCCAGCTCAGTGTTTCAGATTCGTCTTCATCCAGGATTAAAATCTGAGCTGTAATAAAATATGTACTACGTATTTAATAATATTTAAAGTAAAGCAATATAGCCTAAATTATATTGATTTATGACAATTACTTATATACATTTGTATGGAACACACTGATAGAAAATAAAGTGAAGCTAAAATTTTCAGAACAAAATTCCCCTCAAGGAAGGTTCCTTGATGTTGGTGAGGGGTTCTTGATTTAGGGAATTGGATCTGTGCTCCAGTTTCCCAAATTAAGCCTGAATGCCTTCCACATCCCCCCCCCTTCCAGACGCTGTATAATCCTCCGGGTTTAGTGCTTCCCCCTTGATTGTAATAATAATCAGAACAAAATTAAGCATTTAGAATAGTGAGAAAAGCAATAACGTTATAACACAATAATGCAAGATAATACTGCATAAAATTTATTGAATAAGTCTTATAATACAGAAAATAGAGTAATAACACAATTATATTTACATAACTTTTGTGCAGGGCAACAACATTCCCAAGAAGACTAAATGAAACTAAAAATTTGGAACCTATTTAAATCTTTTAGCAGACAAATTACAAAGACGGTACTCATATGTAAAATTTCTCAGTAATGTAAACCACAGTATTATTAATGAAGACATAAAGCAAATATTTTATATACAAATTTGTAAGGTGTATAATAACAATCTCTTGCCCAGTTTAGACAGCTCTGTTACCCAGTGAAAAAATACCCATTTGATAAACTGAAGAAAATTATTTAACAGTAAAGGTTTAATTGATTTTTCATTGTCATTAAGTTCTAGTTTCAAATTGTATGTAAATGTTCCAACACTCAGAGGTCAAGGGAATTGGAGCTAAATTTACGCAACACTTTAAAGTCACAAGAATTTAATGTAGTCATGTTTTATTGAATGTCCTCGAATTTCAGAGTAAGAAGAGTGAGTCAGACCTGGGAAACACCTTTATGCTCAGATATTCTGATTTGGAGTTTCGTGAAGAAATACTAATATACTGCAATGCGGTTGGAATATTTCTAGCTATGCACAATGTTTGAGCACAATTGTGAAATTTGTTGTTTAACTGTGATGTTAGGACTGCAAATTTCAAATGACATCAAATATTCACTATTTTTATGTGCCTCGCCCATGATTGTTTATTTATTCTCATTAGATTCTTGTCGCGGACTGCATGTGTATTGCCCTGTGTCTTACCCATTATTTTGTTTATTTGGTCTCTAGATTCTTGCCGCGGACAGTGCATGTGTGTTGCCCACAAGCCAGACCCATCATGCCACCCATTTCTGGTCCTCCACGCAGACCCAACCCTGGTACCGGTGGGCCGGCTTCTTTATCCAACAATCCCCTTATCCCGTCGGAGAGTATCTGCGGTGTTCCCACTGCTGGTAGGGTTGTTGGTGGCGTCACAGTCGAATATGTAAGTTATGTTTGTTCTCAAATCTTTACATTTCAATTCATGGGGGATGCCTCTCTGCCGGTGAAGGGCTCTTAATCCAAGGAATTTAGGCTACCCTTCGAATCCAACTTCCTTACCCCTCCCTTCCCATTCCTCAGGCTCTGTACTACACACGGATTTAAACTTTAGCTTTCCTGTGAATATACTTATTTCATATATTTAAAATGTGTACTGTATTTGTACATGCTAGTCTGGTTTGTACATGCTATTTTGTAAGCAATGATTTTAGTGCTACTGTCACAGCATCTGGCATGTGTTTTCTAGGTTTAAGTTGTTTCTAGTGAGCAGTTGAGTTCACCAGCCCGAATTATTTTTATTTTTCCTGAACATCTAAAAAATACTCAAATTTTGGCACCTCATTTGTCTTCATTGTTTTTAACGTTACTTTAAGGTATATACACTTAAGTATATATCTCGTTTTATATATATATATTATATATATATTATATATTTAATATATACATATGTCGTGCCGAATATGTAAAACTGGTCAATTAGCAAGAACTCATTTAAAATTAAATCCTTTGTAAAATTTTCTCTTATACGTTTAAAGATATATTTTTTTCATTAATGTTGATGTAAAAATTTATAATTTTGCACCAAAAGGAACTTAGAAAACTTACCTAACCTTATTATAACAAGCGCAGTTTACTTTAGCCTAACCCAACTAAATATATTTTAGATTTGTTTACAATAATTTAATACTAAACAAACAGTGAAATATATTTTTTTCGTTAGGTTCAGAATGATTTTGGCGAAATTATTGCATACACAAATTTTCACTTGTCCTATATGGCAAGATGAGCGTTGCTATTTAAGCTAAGATCGCAAGTTCTGCATATATATATATTATATATATATATATATATATATATAATATATATATATATATATATAATATATATATATATATAATATATATAATATATATAAGTCCCTTTTCTGTATGCAAAACTATTGTTATTCTCTATAAAATGTATTTTTTGTTAATATTTCCCATGAGAAATAATGCAAATCCAATTAAACCATTCCAGACACCCAAAAATATTAACAAAAAATACATATTATAGAGAATAACAATAGTTTTGCATACAGACAAGGGACTACTAAATTCGAGGCTCCACTATATATTATATATATGTGTATATATATGTGTATATATATGTGTATATATATGTGTATATATATGTGTATATATATGTGTATATATGTGTATATATATGTATATATATGTGTATATATATGTGTATATATATATGTGTTATATATATGATATGTGTATATATATATTATATATATATATATATATGTCGTGCCGAATAGGCAGAACTTGCGATCTTGGCTTAAATAGCAACGCTCATCTTGCCATATAGGACAAGCGAAAATTTGTGTATGCAATAATTTCGCCAAAATCATTCTGAACCTAACGAAAAAAATATATTTCACTGAGTTTGTTTAGTATTAAATTACTGTAAACAAATCTAAAATATATTTAGTTAGGTTAGGCTAAAATCAATTGTTCTTGTTATGATAAGGTTAGGTAAGTTTTCTAAGATACTTTTGGTGCAAAATTAAAAATTTTTACATTATCATTAATGAAAAAAATATATCTTTAAACGTATAAGAGAATTTTAGAAAGGACTTAATTTTAAATGAGTTCTTGCTAATTGACCAGTTTTACATATTCGGCACGACATATATATATATATATATATATATATATATATATATATATATATATTATATATATATATATATATTATATATATATATATACATACATACACCTTGGAGTACAATGTAACCAGTGATAAGTATAGTAGTATTCAAAGAGGTTTCTTGATCTCTCACGTAATGTGAGAAATCACGGAAATGCTTGAAATAATACTACTTTTCAGTGTGGTTATATTGCATATTAAACTATCATTTATTTACTGTAACCTCATTACATATCTTAAATTATTTACACTTATAGTTTAATTTTTATTTTTAGGGGTAAGATTATTCTTGATGCAAGTGTACACGAAAATTGTCATAATGAACTCACTGCAATAACTAGACGATAAATCCAACGAACTTACTTTGCAATCAGCCTGGTCGGTGGCCGTGGCTGGCGGCTGTAGGGTTCAGACAAGCTGGTGGCAACTTCCAAACTGACTGTGGTGGCACACTCATTACTCGTCACCACGTACTCACCGCAGCACATTGCTTTGATGAACCTGGCAAGAGAGACCCGTGAGTAATTGATTTTATTGATGCTACTGGTGTAATGAACAGTGAGTAATGTGTGCTAAAAAGCCCACAAGGAGACAGAAGGAAACAGGGTGAAGTGCGAGCTGTGTATTTCAACTACCTTTGCCAGTAACTACTCAGTTATTGCCATCTTTTTTTTTATCTTGAGAAGGCATATGACAACTCGGGGATAAAACATCTTGGCCCAAGCTCACTCTTTAGGTCTCCAAGGCAATCTGCCATTCTTTCTTATCTGAGAGACATTTCCATGTTCGGGTTAAGAAGCTTTCCCCGGACTTTGTCCAAGCTGAAGGTGTCCCCCAAGGATGTCCTTAGCACCACACTTTTTCTCCTTGCTATAAATAATTTGGCATGTTCTTCCATATAATATTTGGTCATCACTCTATGCTGATGACTTTACTATAGCTTGTGCAGGCGCTGACTGTCGGCTCATTGCAGTTTCTCTGCAGAATGCTGTCAGCTGTTTCCAACTGGGCCATTACTCGTGAGTTTAAATTTTCTAGTACTAAGAGACCAAATTACTTTCACTAGACGTTCTATCATCCCTGATACTCCATTTTACCTGTATGCCTCGCGTATCCCACAATGTTATATTGTCAATTTTCATCCATCTGTTTGATCATCGGTTATCCTGGAAACCTCACTACCTTCTTGATAGTAACTTGTCATAGCCGGCTGAACCTCCTTAAATCCCTCGCTCATCTTTAATGGAGGGCTGATCGTCAAACTCTCCTTCGACTGCATTCAGCCCTAATTTTGTCGAAACTAGATTATGGCAATCATATATATTCAGCAGCCTCTCCTGCAACTCTTTCTGACCTCGATCCCATCCATCACCAGCGATTACGTTTATGCCTAGGTGCTTTTCGTTCTTTACTGTTGAGAACCTATATGCATAGTCGAATATTCCGTCCGTGAACGATCGCCTTGATGCTCTTTCCCTCCGCTATTTTGTTTGCTCTTAGGGCCCTTCGCATCTTTCCACATTTTGGGAAAGGATTCGCTCTTGTCTTTTCAGTTACCTCCTTTATGTCCATGTAGCATGTAATTTTTCCCCTTTACCTTGGGAGGTTCCCAAAACAGTTCGTTTTCCTTCTTCCTCATCCCGTGCGCGAAAGCCCACATACCTACAGTAGCTTCTCGCTCTTTTCTTAATTCCAGCCTCATTCTCATACCGTCGCAGTGTACACTGATAATTCTAAATCCTCTGATGGTGTCGGGTTTGCGGCAGTTTCCGGACAGCATTGTGCGAAGGCATTTATTAGACTGGATAGCTTTTTTTCAGCTGAATTGTATGCAATTCTCGCAGCAATTATCCATATTGCATCTATGCCTGTGTCGCCATTTGTGGTAGTTTCAGACTCCCTAAGGAAAGAAGGAACACCGCAACAGGCCCACTGACCCATGCGGAGCAGGTCAATGACCCCCCCCCGGATTGGCCCAATGACCCCCCCAGTCTGGTCCCCTTTCCACTCAAGGAAGGAGCACGGCACCAGACCCAGCAACACAAGCTAGTCAGGTCCAACTCTCACCCACCCACACCCACTCGTGTATTTATCTAACCTATTTTTAAAACTACGCAACTTTTTTAGCCTAAATTTAACTGTACTCGGGAGTTTGTTCCACTCATCCACAACTCTATTACCAAACCAGTGCTTTCCTATATCCTTCCTGAATCTGAATTTTTCCAACTTGAAACCATTGCTGAGAGTCCTGTCTTGGCTGGAAATTTTCAGCACGCTATTTACATCCCCTTTATTCCTGTTTTCCATTTATACACCTCTATCATATCCCCCCTAATTCTACGCCTTTCGAGAGTGCAGATTCAGGGCCCTCAGTCTATCCTCATAGGGAAGATTTCTGATACATAGGATCATCTTTTGTCATCCTCCTCTATACGTTTTCACCTCATTCCCTAGTTCTTCGTATGCAACTTTGGTTACACCGTATCTCTAGCAAAAACAAAGATAGTTTTCTGTTGGGTCCCCGGTCATGTTGACGTACAGGGCATTGAACAGGCATACACTGCTACGAAGTCAGCAGTACATGACCTCCCAGTTTCATATAGAGGTATTAGATTCACAGATTATTTGGCTGTAATTTCTAACCACCTTTGCAACTGTTGGCAACAACGTTGGTTTGATATGATACATAACAAATTACATTCTATCAAACCAAGTTTAGGTTTCTGGCCATCTTCTTGTCGATGCCGAGGTTGGCAGACTACGCAATCCTGTCTACGCATCGGGCACACTCTTCTTACTCATGGGTATCTCAGGGAGAGGCACCCTGTTCCACTCTGAGAATTGTTAGGTTCCAGTTTCGATTAGCCATATTCTGTTGGACTGCCCGGTCTATCAACGAGCACACGGAATTTACCTCCGACGTCACCGCTCTAACGCCCCACATTGCTGACGGGCCCACCTTTGACTCGGACTCCCTCGTCGACTTTTTGAGAGCAACTGACTTACTGCACAAACTTTGATACTTCCTCTAGCACTCCTCACTTCCCTTTGTAACTCTCCCTCTGTTGTTCACTCCACTCTTGCTAATTTATAATCATGCGCTATCCCCTGCCCCCCTCTTCAAGGGGGGCTCCTTGGCGTGGTGAAGAGGCTCTTGGTCTGAGGAATTAGACCTATCGGTCTTCTTCCTCAGAACGAACCTAATTACCCCCCAATCTCACCTCCCCTATCCCATCCTCCCCATCCTCCCCTTTTTCCTTTCCTCCTCCCCCTCCCCACCCCTCCCTTTTGCCCTTCCTCTTTTTGTCCTTTGGGATTTCTCCCACAGGCGCACTAGTTCCTGGGTAGAGGAAAGGATACCGGGGTCCATCCCATTCCGTTGAGGTTCTTAGCGGTGGCGTAGTTTGCCGTGGAATCTGGATCGCCTGGGGATGTCCCGATCCCTCTCCGGTATCCCGGACTAGCTTTGGGTGTCTTTCGGGCGACGAGTGTATCTCTGGAAGCCACCTTTCGGATTCCGGGGGTGGTGGCCGAAGGAGGTATGCTTTGTGGCGGATATCCGGCCGCCCTCTCTTTTGTCCATCTATGCCCCTCATTTCTTTCCTCAAAGTCTGCCAGAGAGTTAGCACCCTTGGACTTTTCTTCTCTCAGAGAAGAACAGTATAATGTGCCTTTTACACTTCAAGAACTGGAGGCAACACTCTCAGCTTGTCGATCATCGGCAGCTGGGCCCGACAACATTCATATTCGTATGCTACAACATTTACATCAGTCAGCCCTTGCAGTCCTATTACGCCTTTACAATCTTATTTGGTCACAAGGAGTTCTTCCACAGCTGTGGAAATCCGCCATTGTTCTCCCTTTCCGCAAACCAGGCACTACGGGACATGAAACCTCCACTATCGTTCCATTGCTCTTACCAGTGCAGTTTGCAAAGTAATGGAACGTCTAGTAAATAGACGTTTAGTGTGGTATTTAGAGACACACAACAGTCTCTCCACTCGTCAATATGGCTTTCGTAAGGGACGTTCTACCATAGACCCCTTACTGCGCTTGGATACGTATGTTCGTAATGCCTTTGCGAATAACCACTCAGTTATTGCCATATTTTTTGACCTTGAGAAGGCATATGACACAACTTGGAGGTATAATATTTTAGCCCAAGCCCACTCCTTAGGCCTTCGAGGCAATCTACCATCCTTCCTTAAGAACTTTTTAACTGACAGGCATTTCCGTGTTCGGGTTAATAATGTGCTCTCCCCGGACTTTATCCAAGCTGAAGGTGTCCCCCAGGGATGTGTTCTGAGCACAACACTTTTTCTCCTTGCTATTAATGATTTGGCCTCTAGTCTTCCATCAAATATTTGGTCATCACTCTATGTTGATGACTTCGCTATTGCCTGTGCAGGCGCTGACTGTCACCTCCTTACAGTTTCTCTCCAACATGCAGTCGACCGTGTTTCCAATTGGGCCACCACACATGGGTTTAAATTTTCCAGCACTAAAACCCACCAAATCACTTTCACTAGACGCTCTGTCATCTCCGATCATCCTTTGTACCTCTATGGCTCCCATATCCCTGAACGTGATACAGTCAAGTTTCTGGGCCTCCTCTTTGATCGTAGGTTATCCTGGAAACCTCACATTACCTCTCTGAAGGCAACTTGTCACAGCCGGCTGAACCTTCTTAAAACCCTTGCTCATCTTTCGTGGGGAGCTGATCGTCGAACCCTCCTTCACCTACATTCCACCCTTATTTTATCGAAACTTGATTATGGTGACCAGATCTAATTCAGCGGCATCTCCTGCTACTCTCTCTAGCCTTAACCCCATTCATCACCAAGGATTACGTTTATGCCTTGGTGCTTTTCGCTCTTCCCTGTCGAAAGCCTCTATGCAGAAGCGAACGTTCCATCCTTATCCGATCGCCGTGATGCCCATTGCCTGCGCTACTATGTACGCTCTCATGATCTCCGCAATCCTTCCATTTATAGAATGGTCACTGATATTAGTAGACATTCTTTATTTGTTCGCCGCCCCTGCTTACTCCGTCCCTTCTCTCTTCGCCTTCATTCGATCTTATCTTCTCTTCAACTACCACCTTTCTATTAAAAGTAGCATCCACTTTCCCTACCCCCCGGGGAATTTCCAGCGTTCGAGTCTGTTCTTTCTCCCCCCCTTGCTCGAAAGCCAACGTCTACGGTCGCTTCCCGCTCTCTTTTTTTTGACCACTTTCATCTCTTCTCGTGCCATTGCGTGTACACAGTGGCTCTGTCTTCTGACGGCTGGGATTGCCAGTGTTTCCGGACACGTCGTACAAGGGCATTTACTATCTTGGGCTAGTATTTTTACTGCTAATTATTGCCACCCTTTTACAGCCTTATCCGTATTGCATCTATGCCTTGCCCATCTTTTGGGGGTTGTCTAAACCCCCTTTATGCTTTACAGGCTATAAAAAAATTTAAATACACCTCACCCCTTAGTCCTCCGAACCAACTTTGGCTACCCCCGATTTTT